ACAGCTCACACACTACACTAAAGCCTTCTGTATTTGTATGTGTGTGCTGTTCCTTAATCTGTATTATGACAGATACAAACTGACTGATACACATACACATTCTCTCATACGCTCACAAAGTATTGTTTTTTTTTTTTTTTAAGTCTACCCAATCTCCCACTCTTTTGGAGAGTTTGAGTGGATCCTTTCCCTGGAGTCCAGTGTGTGTGTGTTGTGACAGTCATCTTTTTGATTTGTTCCTTCAGCCCCATTTAGTGCTGCCAGGGCTGGAGTTACGCCATATTCCAACTCCCAATATCACTGCAGTGCGTGCAAGGGAGAAAAAGCAAAAAGAGATATGCACTGCCCTTCTACATTATGCACAGCCATCTTCCTCGATTGGACCCCTAAGGTGTCCAGCTCTTGGCCCCTATAACGGGTGCATAACCACTTGTGGGCTGGTGAAGGTTGTAGGAGCATTCGGGCAGGCATTCGGGGTGGCATTTTTTGCCCCGCTGGAAAGTGCCACCCAGGGCTAATACTCAGGATAGATACAGTGCTGACTCCAGCTTCCACCAAAATCTAAGCCTAACTCTCTTCAAACTAGGTGAAACCTTAGTACAAATCAAACAAATAAAGGCTGCGCAAAATGTTGCTATATGCACAAACAAAGTGCTACCAAAATTTATTGGAGTACAAAATAAGAAACAAACGTTTCGGGTACAACCCTTTTTCAATGCACCATGTCCCTCAACCCCATATGATACACTCACCCTTTAAATACAGAAAATACAATAAACAAACATCCAGAGCCACCCCCCTCTGTAATCAGTGCTGAATAGGAGTCCTCCTGGGTCCAGCCGCCATCTTGCCGGATTTCCCAGCATGCCATGTTGCTAGGCAACAGTTAACAAAACATATCAGGAAATGCTGTGGCCAGGTCTCTTGGCTTTAACCCCTTAAGGACGGAGCCAAATGTACACGTTGTGAACGAAACAAAATGTAAACAAAACCTGGCATTTGCGCTACATGTCTGTCCAACCGTAATTCACCTCTTTCATAGTAAATACACCCACCCTTATTATATATCATTTTATTCAGGGGAAACGGGGCTTTCATTTAATATCAAATATTTAGCTATGAAACATAATTTAATATGAAAAAAATTGGAGAAAATTAGATTTTTTTAGTTCTACATGACATTTTAACTGTCAATGTCTTAATACTGTTTGCTTTTACTGCAATAAAATACACATATTTGTATTCAGCAAAGTCTCACGTGTAAAACAGTACCCCCTATGTACAGGTTGTATGGTGTTTTGGGAAGTTACAGTGTCAAATATAGCACGTTACATTTGAAATTGAAATTCGCCAGATTGGTTACGTTGCCTTCGGGACTTTATAGTAGCCCAGGAATGAAATTTACACCCATAATGGCATACCATTTGCAATAGTAGACAACCCAAGGTATTACAAATGGGGTATGTCCAGTCTTTTTTAGTAGCCATTTGGTCACAAACACTGGCCAAAGTTAGCGTTAGTGTTTGTTTGTGTGAAAAATGCAAAAAAAGCCAATTTTGGCCAGTGTTTGTGACTAAGTGGCTACTAAAAAAGACTGGACATACCCCGTTTGCAATACCTTGGGTTGTCTACTATTGCAAATAGTATGCCATCATAGGGGTAATTTTCATTCTTGGGCTACCATAGGGTCTCAAAGGCAACGTAACCAATCTGGCGAATTTTAATGTGAAAAAAATGAAACACAAGCCTTATATTTGACGCTGTAACTTTTGAAAACACCATAAAACCTGTACATGAGGGGTACTGTTGTACTCGGGAGACTTCGCTGAACACAAATATTTGTGTTTCAAAACAGTAAAAAGTATCGCAGCAATAATATCGTCCGTGTAAATGCTGTTTGTGCGTGAAAAATGCAAAAAACTTCACTTTTACTGGCGATATCATCGTTGTAATACATTTTACTGTTTTGAAACACTAATATTTGTGTTCAGCGAAGTCTCCCGAGTAGAACAGTACCCCCCATGTACAGGTTTTATGGTGTCTTGGAAAGTTATAGGGTTAAATATAGTGCTAGCAAATTAAATTCCCTTTACTTCCGGCATGGGTTGTCAGGCAGGTCCCGCTAATTTTAATTAATTAAGATACCCAATTATGTAAAATTATTACATAAATATATATGTAGAATTAATATATGTATATATACGTATGTGAATATATATGTATATATATATATAATTTTTTTTTAAATATTTTTATTTATATATATGTATATTTATAGTGATATATACGTATATATTTATGTTATGTCTATTATCATACGTCCCGCGGATAAGGGTGGGGCTATCGTTATTTTGCAGTATGAAGATTATAGAGCTGAAATTTTGAGACAATTATCGGATACATGTGTGTATGAACATACTGAGACTGATCCGGTTTGTGAATTTAGTAAAGTGATTAAATCGACACTACAAAGGGGAGTAGAATCTGGTTTCCTGACCATGGCTGAATTTGAATATCTTTTTGAAATGCACCCTAGGTGTCCTATTATTTATACACTACCAAAAGTGCATAAAAGTTTGAAGTGTCCACCAGGCCGTCCAATTGTGTCAGCATGTGGAGGTCTTCTAGAGCCGATTGGAAAATGGCTAGACATCAAATTTAAAAAACCTGTTATGTCATTACCTACTTATGTGAAAGACTCTGCTCAGGTAATAGCTGCCCTCAACTCCACTATATTACCTCCACAAGGGGTGTATTTAGCAGCTATTGATGTCAATAGCTTATACACCATTATTCCCCATGCTGAAGGGATATCTGCGATGCGACAGGTTCTGCTACAGCACCAAGATAAAATTGAGCCTCCAATTGAATATATCCTGGAATTACTAGAACTGTGCCTTACATTGAATTACTTCAGGTTTGAAAAGTCATTTTATGTTCAGATTTCGGGGACATCCATGGGTGCCCCTATGGCACCCATGTATGCCAATGCATATATGCATGTGTATGAACAGAGATATATTTTACAAGAATACAGCCAATATATTTTGAAATACTTCAGATACATCGACGATGTCTTTATTATTTGGTCTGGGGAAGAACAAGCACTACTGAACATGTTACAATCGCTTAATTACTTGGATTCACCTGTTAGATTTACATACCAGATTAATAATAAACAAATGGACTTCTTGGATCTCCGTATCTTTATTGAAAACAATAAGTTGGGTTATACTTTGTATGCCAAAAAAACGGATCGCAATACCTTACTCCATGCTACTAGCCATCATCCTCCCAATTTGATAAAATCTCTCCCGGTGTCACAATTTGTGAGGGTATTGAGAAATAATTCGGATTTTAATAAAGCTGCGATACAGGTGCAAGAAATGTTTGGGAAATTCTTCCAGCGGGGATATTCTAAATATACTCTGGAAAAAGCATATTCCAAGGCAGTACATCTATACACTGAAAGCTCTAGTACCAAGAATAAAGTGAATAGATTAATTTTTCCTCAAACTTTTCACTCACAATCTCGAGACTTGTCTAAAAAGATTCGGGAGGATTGGGAGCTAATCAAAAAAGATAAGACATTACCGGAAATATTTCAACAAAATCCTATGATTAGCTATAGGAGAAATAGGAATTTAAGAGACTATTTGGTACATACTGATATTTTGGCATCTAGACGTGTTACTCTTCAGAACCCTGGCTGCTTTCGCTGTTTGAAATGCACGGCTTGTAATAATATGACACCTGGAAAATCATTTTTTCACCCGCATTCAGGGAAAGAATACAAGATACGTCAGCGGATTACCTGTACTACCACACATGTTGTTTATCGGATTCTATGCCCATGTGGCCTTATGTATATTGGGAAAACCTCGAATGATTTAAGGCAACGAATGACGGGACACAGATCGACGATTAGAATGGCATTATCAAGTGGTGTTGCATCTACCCCTATATCTAAACATTTTCTTGATAAGGGACATACATTGCCAACTTTAAAATTCATGGGTATTGAGCATGTCCCGGTTCCCTTAAGGGGAGGGGATAGAAATAGGCTTCTCCTTCAAAGGGAAGCCTTTTGGATTTTCATACTTGGAACTATGCATCCAGGAGGACTAAATGAGATCAACCCTCTCAATTGCTTTATTTCTGCAAGATAGAATTGATCTTTTGCTATTTTGATTTATAATGTTAGTATCTGCTCGTTAGATTGGTTATAGCTGTTTATCTTGTTATCTCTGTTTGCTACATACGCCTCGAATTTGGTGTATTCAGAATCTGACACTTTGTTTCAAGTTTTTCTGATATGATTATGTATACTTGTAGACTTCTCTCTTCTCGGAATTCCTTTACAGGATTTAGCCACCCTAGTTGAAGTTTGTATATATGTATATAGTATTTAGACATTTAGTAGATCGGTACCTTGGGTGGCGTTCCTGTTTCTCTATATACATCCTGGTTTTTATATGGCATCTGAGTTGTTGGATTTGATCCACCTCGGCTGTCTGTGCACTGTACTGTCATTTCATGATATATGTTTCTTTACTGGTTTATATTTCACTGGTTTATTTATTTTTTTATCTTGGGGCTAATGCCCTTTCAACTTTCACATCTCACCTATGATGTCATTTTGCTCTCTGCTTACTCTCCAATCAGAATCTATTACCACCATATTTAAACTTTCACATTTCCCGCTTTTCACTGTCTTGATAAAAGTCCTTCGTGGACTGAAACGTCGACTAGATCATGTTGTATTACTACACGTTTTTGCAATAAATTTAATGTAATTTTTCTAAAAAGAAGACCTCTGGAGTGCACTCGTTTTTCTTCGATATTCATTACGGCTGAGGCAGCACCGAGGCAAGTACAAGACCGGTAAATTGAGTGCGGGATTTTCCAGGATTATATGAGTATTACAGGGTCCGTTAAGCCAGGACTCCTTCCACGCACCAGACCATAGGAGAGTAATTTTCTATACCAGGATCGTATAGATGGAGGAATTTTTATCTAGAGCCGGAGCTCTAGTGGATCATGCTGAAGTGTTGCAGTTTTCGGAAGCAGAAGCAGCAGCTATACTTTGGCCACAATCTGACTCGGACTTACCTATCTCCTCTGAACCACGGGACATTGTGAGAGATTTGCAGAAATTAAAACAAAGACAAATAGATCTTGAATTACATGCCATCTACTTATCAGACTACTACCGCATGAAAAAAATTCCAAGAGGTTTTCGGATTAAGAACGTTCCGACTATTGGTAGGAATAACCCTGAGGTCTGTCGTAAGTGGATTGGCATACTGAATAAATGTTCCCTAGATCTAATGCTGGTCGTGATCGAGGAGGTAGGTCGAGAATTAAAAATTACTAAGTTTAAAATCTCTGACTTCGAGGTATTACACTCTACTACTATTGCTGCACCTAATTGTGATTTGTTGATCCAAAAACTAACGGAGGATCTGAAACAGTATAAAAACGACCTTGTTAGGTTTAAGAGAGAAAAATTGTCTAAAGTCCAGGCTGATTATTCTGAACACAGAGTATATCGATGGTTATCTGGGGATAATTCTAGACCTATGTACAGGACATACAGATCCCGCATTAGAAAACCGATTGCTGCCACTGTAGATTTCACGTCTGGTGAATCAGCATCTGATTCTGACCTAAGGGTCTCACAGAGGGAGAGAACATACTCTAAAGATTCAGAGCACACTGATCCATCTTTTTTAGAACCAGGATTAGGCCTGGTGAGAGAATCACTCGGTGGGAGTCACTTGAATATAGAGCACCCTCCAAACATCATCACTACACCAGGAGGGGGCAGAAAGGGAAGAGGCACTGGTCACAGGGGGCGTCCGCCACGACGACGTTAGATGACCCTATTATCAATTTGTCCTCTAGAACACTCACTACGGCAGAGACTATGTTACTTAAGAGAGGTCTCTCATTTGTGCCTACATCCAGGATGAATAAATTTCAATGGGAAATTGATCAGTTCAAATTTAACAGGAAACTGCGTTTAGCAGATCACTTCAAAAATTTGCATTTACAAACACAAAGTGAAGAAGAAGGGACTGATAAGCTTAAATTACGAAGCTCATTTGATCCCCTCACGGTTAATACTACTTTGAAGACATTTTCACAAATTCTTAAAACGGATACCACGGAGGTTTTCAATACTTTTAGTAGCTCTAGATCTAACATCTCTAGATTAGAAAGGGAAGCTCTTCATAATTTAGCTAATGATATGTCTATTATCATACGTCCCGCGGATAAGGGTGGGGCTATCGTTATTTTGCAGTATGAAGATTATAGAGCTGAAATTTTGAGACAATTATCGGATACATGTGTGTATGAACATACTGAGACTGATCCGGTTTGTGAATTTAGTAAAGTGATTAAATCGACACTACAAAGGGGAGTAGAATCTGGTTTCCTGACCATGGCTGAATTTGAATATCTTTTTGAAATGCACCCTAGGTGTCCTATTATTTATACACTACCAAAAGTGCATAAAAGTTTGAAGTGTCCACCAGGCCGTCCAATTGTGTCAGCATGTGGAGGTCTTCTAGAGCCGATTGGAAAATGGCTAGACATCAAATTTAAAAAACCTGTTATGTCATTACCTACTTATGTGAAAGACTCTGCTCAGGTAATAGCTGCCCTCAACTCCACTATATTACCTCCACAAGGGGTGTATTTAGCAGCTATTGATGTCAATAGCTTATACACCATTATTCCCCATGCTGAAGGGATATCTGCGATGCGACAGGTTCTGCTACAGCACCAAGATAAAATTGAGCCTCCAATTGAATTGAGGACTTCACTCTCACATGGCCGGGGGGCTTCCAGGGGGTCGGACGTGCCGCGGGGGGCTCCCTGGGAGTCCCCCCAACCGCGATCGCCGGCGTGGGATTGCCGGCGACCGGGTAAGTACAGAAAGACCGGAGGGCGTACTATTACGCCCCGCGGCGATTAGAGCCGCTTAAAATAGGGCGTAATAGTACGCCCTCCAGTCTTAAGGGGTTAATCAAGTTAACATTATAAAATAAAAATATCTTAAAAATTTGGCAATACAGAACTGGTGGAGCTGCTGTGTTTTGTGAGTTGTCTCTCAGGAACTGTCAATGGGTAAAAAAAGCAAATGTACCTGTTATTTTGTATAAAGTGTTACAAGATTGAGTATTTCAGCTTAATTCACTGGTCATACATTCGTAATGATCCCTTATATAATTGACTAAATGAGAATTCAAAGTGAATTTCAAACTCGCCCAAGTAGCCAAAACTGGAAGCATAGCTGACTTAATGTTTTCCAGTTCTGCTATTTTGACCTTAAATTTAAAATTCACTTTAAATTTACTTAGAATTCTCACTTTAATTAATAACCCTGCAAGTTTACATTTTAATGTGTTTGTGATTGTTGTTTTTGAATGTTTTTGGGTGTGTGCAATTCTAAGGTATTGAATTCATATTTTTGGATACATTTTATACATTATTTATCTACAAAAGTCACCATTAAAGTCTTTGAGATTTGTTTACAGATAATTAATTTGAAACGCTTATTCAAGAATAATAAATTGTGGACCAAGTTGTAGAACTCTTATTGTAATACCACCGTTTTCATATTTAACACAAATAAAAATAACAAAATTAACTTTGCGATACATAGAAAATCCTTGCTATATTTCTTTCAAATGTTTATTTCTGTTTATTCATATTTCTTAGTTAGGCCCTGTGACGAAGTGCCCTTCGCCACTTGGTACTGGAGAGGCCTGCTTGCCAGCCTCCTCCCCTGTGACTATGACTCTTTGATGTATTTGCCTTTAAAGCCCCTATTCTACCTTCAGACAGACTATTTATGTAGGCTGCTTTATTTATCTTATGTTTTAGTCACCCTGTACCCATTATAGGTGCAGGGTGTGTGTAATGTAATTGTTTATAGTGTGTGTGTGTACTGTGAGCTTGTCTAGTGCCCTCTGTTGGTAGCAACAGCAATATGCACTACCTGAATTGCAAGACTGGTTCATTTGCATATTCGGGTAGATTTGCATATTCGGGTAGATTTGCACATTGCTAATTCTGCAGGCAGGTGAGATATTTACTGTTAAATATTGTCTCCCCCCACCCCTTTAAAAATGTGCCATTGTGTTGTGATAAGTCACTGTGTGTTTCTTGATATGGTTTGACTGTTTGTGATTTTATTGAGGTTTCACAACAATGTTATTGTGGTGACTGTATTGGCTGGTCCCAAGGGAATAAAGGTTTTGACAGTTCTTCTTGATCCCTCTAAACGTAGCCTTGTCTCGTTATTGGAGGGAGCTGTTATAATCACACTGGGGATTGCTATGCTTTGCATGCTCCCCTGAGCTTGAGTCACTTAGCTCTTTTAAGAGCTTGTTCCTGACACGCTCTCCTTGGAGGAGGGGTCTTCACCACACAGTCCTGGATGCTGGAGGTTCATACAGGGTGGAAGGAAGAGTTCTTTCCCACACAGTCCTGGAGGACAGAAGCTGATCCAGGGTGGAAGGAAGACTGCGAGACTCCAGTCAAGATACGGTGGTTGCGGAGTTTGCGGTGGTTGTGGTGTCTGCTGCAGTGCTTGGAGTCCTCAGGAAGCGCTAGGAGCATCCATCAACGGAGGGTACTCGGTCGGAGTACAAGGAGCTCCGTTACAGGCCCCAATTGTTAAACAGAATATACATTTAAGTTCATAATCCTCTCTATTCAGTCTAACCTATTATTTCCTGTAATGGTACTACCTCTCTCTTCCACTCTTTTGTTTTATCCAAACAGAGCTAATATTAAAAAAAAAAAAAAAAAATCCATCAGTTTCCAATAAAATATATACAGCAGAATCTGCCTTTAGGATATATCAACAGCAATAAACTATATCTGCCCCTGTAAATGACTTCAAGCTAATGTTTTTTTCCCCCATCAGTTCTGGTTAGAAGTAACATGTTGCCTGCCTTTGCTCACTTGCATGTTGACCTGGGAGTTCTGGGATTATGTAAACATGGTGTCTTGCAATTGCCCTGCCCATTGTAAACATTGCACAATACATCTTGAGCTATGCAGGTGATGCACAACTGTATTTTTTTCATTTGCATCAAATAATTTGAGTATTATCATGCTTGGTTATCTAAATTATAAGTGAAGGCATATGCATAGTAAATGTGCATATAATATATATGTAGTACAGTATATAATTTAAAAAACTTACAAATTGTTTATTTTTTTAAAAAACTCTTCAAAATACAACTTTTAATAAGTGTACTGTAGTCCACTTTAGATCTTATCATGTAAACAATAATTCATTTATCAATAATCTGCTGTGTGGTATGTAATTTATTTTTTATCTATGTTAATTTATTCTTTTTAGACTAAATACATTTTAATATTTGTTTATTTACTGTTTAATTCTGTTATGCTTGCTAGTTTTATTGTCATTTTATAATTTTGCTAATACATTTTATTCTTTAAATTAAGTTGAGTATCCTAATACACAAATGGATTATGATACTAAATATATACAGATACATTATAGATAAATAGATAATAAATAGAAAGATAGATAGATTCATACAGCAGTGATGATTTCAAACTCTTATCCATAAATATTAAATAGAGGCCATAGTTTTACAAAAATTGAGTGTAATATTTTTCATTTTGCTTTTTTGTATTGATGAAAAATGAAGTGCAACATTATTTTAAATTGAACTAAGGGGATTTAAAAAAATAATAATAATGGAAAGAGTGAGTAGGCAATTGATATCCCACTCAACCCTTCCACCCTGGGAAGAGCAAAGCATTACACACATCCAGGCTTTAGCTTCAGTGAACCATCCTTCAAAACTGTGCCATATCAGCTTCTCCCAAATCCATCTGTTAGTAGGCAGAGTAAAATTACTGCAATGAAAGGAATTTTCAAAAAAGTGGACAGACACAGCAGCAAGAAAAATGTCATTCAAATTGTGTTTTTTATTCACCGCCATATTCTGATATCCTGATCTCTGATAGCAGTATCAAAGTGAAGAGCAGGATAACCCAAGTATGGAGTTTCAGCTTTGCTTCATTAGTTGCAGAAACATTTCTGAGGGATTTAAAGTGGGTCATGTTGTTTATAAATTGGGTCAATTAGGGGATGACCTGTACCAAATGGGCATTACTGTGGCTCAAGGTTTCTGGCATATCCCTTAATGGAATGAGAACTCAACTAGCTGCAATCCCAGTGGTAATCAATGCCAGTGGAGTGGTGAGACTATGAATTGTTCTCTGCTGTTACAGAATTCTATCTAACAGGTCTTATGTGGTGCTGACCTCCTGTCATAGATGAATGTGGATAGCC